GAGTGGCTGTCCCCTGGGTGGTGGTTTTTTGGCCAAAGGGGAAGGAAGCAAGGTCAGGTCTTGCCCTTATATGTAGGTGGCTCTTGGTGGGGCAGGGAGGCCATAAGCCGGGGACAGGATGTAGGCAGGGTCGGGACCGGATGGGGATGAGGCTGGATGGGACAAGGTGAGATTTGGGGTTCCCAGGAGTGGGGGTTTCAGGGGATTTGGGGAGGCAGGGATGGGTGTCCAGGGGAATGGGGGGTCCCATGGGATGGAGTGCCTGAAAATAAAGGTCCTGAGGAGGAGGAGGAGTCACTGGGGAGTGGGGTGGCCATGGGTATGGGGGACCCCAGGGCTGGGGGGACACAGGAATGGGAATGCCAGGGCAACGTGCCAGGGATTTGGGGTCACAGGATGTGTTTGCCAAGGATGGAGTGCAGGGGGAATGTGGGTCCCATGGGAATCGGGAGGCCTGGGAGAATCAAGGTTCTGGGGGGAAGGGAGATTTCAGGGGATAGAATGAATGGGAGAGGGTTTTTTGGGAATGGGGTGCTGGGCTATGGAGATGCTGGGGAATATCAGTACTGGGATGGGGGTCCCAGGCAAGGTGGGACATAAGGAATGAGTTTCCCATGATCTGATTACGACGGGAATGGAGGTCCCAGGGATGGGCAGTGGCTGGGTGGGACTGTGGTTCATAGCTCCTTCCCTGAGTGCCTCATATTTTGGTGTGACCCAGGGCCCAGCACAGCCTCCACAAGGTGCCGGCGCCCTGGGGGTCTCCCCAGACAGATTCTGAGGGGCCCCAGGTTTGTGGAGCTGCTGCAGATGTGAGAATTCTGTGGGGAAAAATGGCTTGACTGTGGTTTGCTCAACCCTGCAAGAAGCACAAAATCCAAAGGGAGCCCAAGCAGTGGCTCCGTGAGGGTCTTTGATGGTTTTCAGATCAGGGCTCCCTGGAAACCCCCCATGCAGTGGCAGCTGTGAGGGAACCAGTCTGGAAATGCAGCAATTGATAGTTTAGTAGGTTGTAGCAAGGTTCTGAGAGAGCCCCCAAAACCCTGCAAAGAGACAACAAACTGCACAACAACATGCCAGGCTTCCTCCTCCTTCCTGTCTCAAACCTGCAGCCCTTTGGAACAGCCGGGGAAGAATATTTGGGTTCTGGTATGGCTGTCAGACAAGAGGAAAAAGTGTGGAAATACCGAGCAGTGGCCCTGCCCCAAGGCCATGGTGGGGCTGTGGGGAGTGACCCTGTGTGGATTCCAGGTGTCCCCAAAGCTGCTCCATCCCTGCCCTCCTCACCTGACTGAAAGGCTGAGGGTTTGCAGGGATTGTCGTGTAAAGCCACCAGAGGTGCTGCTGTGGACCCGAGACCTGCCTGGAATGAGGTGCTGCCTTCCTTCCATTCGGGATCATGGAGAGAGGTGCCAGATGTTGCACAGGGCGTGTGCCCGGCCCTGGGACACTGCAACACTGCCACTGGGCACTGGGATGCAACCTGCTGCCTTCGTGGCTTCTTCCTGATGCTCGCAGGGGTGCCGGGACCTATCAGTGCCCATGCGTTTGCAAAAGGAGCGATTTCCCCTCCTGGCTCCCGCCCGAGGCCGCCATGGCCCCTGAGGGGATCGAGCTCGACCGGGGCGCCCCCTGCTGGCCGGGAGTGCTCCCTGAAGCGCCCCCTGCTGGCCGCGGTTATAACTGCCACAGAAACCAACAGCGCTGAGCGGGAGGGAAAGTTCTGGGTTTGTGTTGTTTGTTCTGTTCTGGTTTAGAAATTTCCTAGTAAAAATCTGTTGTTCCTTTTCCTACACTTTGGCCTGGAAGCCCCATCATTTTTGAAATTAAAAAGTTTTAGGAATGAGTCTTCTTTTCATTCCAGGAATGTTACCAATTTCCTCGGCAGATATTTCTCATTTAAACAAGTTGCCAGCTCCTGGATTCCAGCGTGGATGGGACAGGCACCACAAGAGAAGACAGGGTCAGGGACTGGGCCACCTCATGCTGTGGGTTTGTGTTGTTTGTTCTGTTCTGGTTTAGAAATTTCCTAGTAAAAATCTGTTGTTCCTTTTCCTACACTTTGGCCTGGAAGCCCCATCATTTTTGAAATTAAAAAGTTTTAGGAATGAGTCTTCTTTTCATTCCAGGAATGTTACCAATTTCCTCGGCAGATATTTCTCATTTAAACAAGTTGCCAGCTCCTGGATTCCAGCGTGGATGGGACAGGCACCACAAGAGAAGACAGGGTCAGGGACTGGGCCACCTCATGCTGTGCCTTTTAAGCCAGTTGGGCCACCAAGGGCTCTCTCCCCAGGTGGCACTTCTGGTCACCCAGCCACTCAGGAGCTGGCTTTGGTAGAGCGTCACACTGTCCCCAATGTGCCATGGCTGACAGACTGATGGACAGATGGGCCCTGTCTCACCAAAAGCAAGGCCTGACCCAGCCCTGCCACACACGGGTGTTCCAAAATGTCTCCAGACATCAAAGTTTTCCTGTCTCTGACACCCCACCCTGTGCCATGGCCTGATCTTAACTGCCCTGGAAAAGGGGGAGGCTCTGGAAAACCCACAGGGCCTTGTTGCCATCCTGGTGTGGGGAACACGGCAGAGGAGGGGTTTGGGACAGGGGACAAGAGATTACAGAGCCTCCCGAAGGCCGCTTTGGCCATCAGAGCACTGGAGATCCAGGGCCCTGCCATGTTCCTCTGGCAGAGGAAACGTGCTGGGGGAAATGTCTGGGGTTTGATCTTTTTGGGTGCTTTCCCTGGAAATTTTTCCTTTTATGACCATTTGGACTCTGAAGCTTGTTGCTGTTGGTTTTATTCCATCTCGTTGCCGTTTCAGGAAATTGTTCTTCTCTCAGCCCTTTGGGATCTTTGTGCCTCCACAGGGAGGGACAGGGGCAGTTTTTAGTGGCAGCACACACACGTGTGTGTACCCATGCGTGGGGACCCCAGTGCCCCCAGGTCCCACCATTGTCACAGTACATTTCCCTAGATGTCACCGGGTTCCCGTGGTGGCCCCTGGTGTCCCCACAGCTCCGTGTAGGTCACCTGGGGATCCTGGAGTGTGGTGGCACAGGGAGACACTGCAAGAGATACAGGCTGTGGGATCTGGATGGGGTGACACTCGTGGGTGGCGTGTCCCTCTGCGTGTGTCCCCCCTGTACTCACCCCCTGTTCCCTTGGTGACCTCGACGTCTGTGTACAGCACCTCTCCTGGGGAATACGGTTGGGCTCTGAGGGAATAAAGGCGGTGTGGGTGGGAGGGAATGGGAGGTCTTGGGGTTGGGGTAACAGGGGAGAGGGTGTTTTGAGTCTCCACTCACCTTTCCTGGTTCTTCCTGGCAGCTGCAGATGAAAGAGGGGAGGGATAACATTGGGGTACCCAAGGCCCTGACCCCTCTCAGGATTTCTGAACAACTACAGGATCCTCCATTTCCCACAGGACCCCCAAGCATCCCTGAAGTCCCCCAGAATTCATGAACCTCCCCAGTGCCCCCAAACCAACACTGCTTCAATGACCCAAAGCCCGGCAGAGACAGAGACCCACCAAACACCCCCAGGGACCCTGAAAGAACCCCTAACATCCATGCAAGACCCTCCAGCACCTCCCCAAACCTTACAGGACCCTCAGTTAAGATTCCATTTCTGGGGCTGTGAGTGTTGCCCTATCGCTGCCCAGCTCTAGGGCCCTCTACAGCTCCGTGGGACCCCTGTTCCCTCATTGTCACCCACCCACATGGTGCCAGCGCTGCCAGGCCACAATGACACCCACGAGCAGGAGCAGCAACAAAAGGGCCCCAGGGACCCCTGCAGCCACTGCAAGAAACAGAGGGGGACACATCAGGGTCACCTATCACCTCAGGTAATTTGCACCACCCTGTGACCTTGTGTGACCCCACCTGTGACCCAATGTCCCTGTGGTATCACAACCAGGGCCAGCTCTGGGCTGAGTGCCCGGAACACGCGGTGCCCATCCTGTCCCAGCTGGTTGATGGCCACGCACTGGTAGGTGCCCGAATGTCCCACGTCGATGTCCCTGAGTTCCAGGAGGGGACCCCGGGCCACCTCCTGCCCATTGTGCAGCCAGGTGAAGGTGACAGGGGCTGAGCCCACCTGCACTGAGCAGCGCAGGGTCACGTTGTCACCTGTGTGCACCTGGTGTGCCAGGGGACCGGGGGTGATGGTGGCATTGGCCACGGGCACTGTGGGGACACAGACAGGGCTGGCACGGGAGAGGTGGGATTGGGGTGTCATGGGTGGGGTCACCCCCAGCCCGAGGGTCCTGCTCACCCAGGATGGTGATATTCAGGGGGTCACTCTCAGCCACGGTGTCCCCATTTCTGACCCGGCACCGGTACTGGCCGCTGTCATTGATCCCTACTTGGTGCAGCTCCAGTTTGTCATTGGTGCCCAGCAGTTCTCCCAATCCTACCCGGTGCCAGGAGAAGGACAGGGGACCTGTCCCTGCAGCAACCACACAGTTCAGCACCAGGAGGTCCCCCAGTGCCACCTGTCCCCCGGGGGGCTGCGCTGAGAGGGAAACCCCCGAGACTGGGACACCTACAGGGGGACACAGTGGGGATTGGGGACCTAAAAAGAGTGGGAGACATGGTAGAGGAAAGAGGGGGGATTGGAAGGGAGCAGAGAGGATCCCAGTGAGCAGAAGGGGACCCTGGGAGGCATGTTGGGACATGGGGACAATGGTGAGACCCCATGGAAAATGGGAGAGAGCCAGGCAGGGATGGGGAACCACAGGAGAGACTGAGGAGACTCAGGGAATGATTGGGGGTTTAGAGATGGATGGGTGTATGAAGAAGAGAAGGAAGGGAGAGCAGAGGGTGCAGCAGGGAGCTTGGAAGGGGTGGGGAATGCAGGGAGGGCTGGGGAGGACAAAGAGAGAGATGAGGGATCTGCAGGGGGAACTGGGCAGTCCTGGGGGAAACCAAGTGGGACTTGGGAAATTGTGGGTGAGACAGAGAGGAGTCAAGGGAGGGATGAAGGATTCAGGCAGTGCTGGGGAAACCCTTGGAGGATGTCAGGCTTCCCTGTCCCCATCCCTGCACTCACTGTGCACTTTCACTCTCACCCACTCTGACTTCCTCCACACTGACACGCCATAGCCCACATAGCCCTGGCAGCGGTAGTGGCCGCTGTGGCTCAGCTGCAGGGGGGACAGGGACAGCTCAGTCCCATCCTTGGGCCCCTTCAGATACTTCTCTTCATGGTTGAAGTACACGCTTGTGAGCGTTTTGTTCCACCAGCTCCGGCAGCGCAGTGTCACCGTGTCCCCCTCCAGCAGCACCCGCGCTGGCACCTGCAGCACCAACCATTCTGGGGGACGAAGGGGACCAGTCACACCAGGAGCAATCAGGAGGTTGATGATGGCACCGAGAGGCACCAGAGACCACCCATTGTGTGAGAGAAGACTCCTCTCTCTGGGATGAGAGTAGGGGATGGGCTCTGGTCACACAGGAGAACCCTCAGGATCCCTGTGGCTGCCAGGCTGGGAACATCCAACTCACCATCTGAGACACTCACGGGGGGGCTCTGCTCAGTGCCAGATCTGTCACAGGTGTAGGTGCCTTTCTGGGTGACAGTGAGGCTGTAACTTCCCTTCTGCTCCCATCGCTGACCATCCCTGTACCAGGTGGTGGCACCAGCGGTCCCCAAGCCCTGGCAGGTCAGTGTCACCCGGTCCCACAGCACCGCCGGCCTCCAGGGGGGCTCCACATAGAGGTGGGTGGTCTGAGCAACTGCGGGTGATAGGGAACACCAGCCTGCCTGGGCCACTGCGTGTCTGGGGACAGCGGGGTGGGGCCATGGCATCCCCCGAGGACTCACCAGTGAGGCTGAGGATCTGGGCTGGAAGGGAGAAGGGACAGGGCTCAGTGGGGTTGGCACTGCAGGGACAGAGATACAGGGACACGGGCTGTGGAGGCTGTCACTGAAAGGTCTCTGTGGGGACACGGGTGTGGCACAGATGTCTCCAGGACAGGGACACAGCAGCTAAGCCATGCTCAGGCATGAGGACCCCGTGCTGGCTCAGGTCACCCCTGCCAGCCCCACAGCCACAACCCCATGGCCCTGTGCCTGTGGTCACATTCCTCTGGTACCTGTCCCCATGGCCCAGGCACAGGGTGCTTGTCCCCTTGTCCCTGTCCTGCATCCCTGTGTCCCTGTCCCCACAGCTGCCCCAGCCCCAAGGCTCCTTCTCTCATATCCTTGTCCCCACATCTCCATCCTCCTGTTCCTGTCGCCCCATCCCAGATCCTCTCCCTGTCCCCTGTTCCTGACCCCAGAGCCACCCCACAACTCTGTTCACAGTGGGCTTCATGCCCTGCTGGCCTTGAGGTCTTCAAGGGACCCCACAGACCCCTGTGCCCCCTCCCTTACCCATCCCTGGGCTGTCATACCCGTCCCTGGGGCACTCACCCCACAGGAGCAGCGCCACCTTCCCGGCCATCCCGGTGTCCCCAGCCATGTGCACTGGCTGTCACTCGCTGCTGTGGCTACCGCTCCCCTCGGTTGTGGCTCTTTGGATGAAGGGGAAGGAAGCGAGGTCACGTCTGTCCCCACATGTAGGTGGCTCTTGGTGGGGGCAGGGTGGCCACAAGCTAGGCAGAGGCTGGAGACATTTTTGGATAGTCTGGGGGCATGGGGCGGGATGCTGTGTCCAGGAGTGGGGGACTCAGGGGATGTGGGGAACCAAGAATGGGTGTCCAGGAGAATGGGGATCCAGAGTAATTGGGGTCTCCATTCCTGGGGAGATTCGGGGTTGGGGGTGCTGTGGGATCATGGTCCCCAGGGATTTGGGTTCATGGCATGTGGGTCTCAGGTTTGGGGGTGTAGGGGTAAAAAGGGGAACTTTGGGTATTGTGGTTCTGGGGGAAGAAGCAGCCCATGGGATGGGATCAAGGCAATGGTGGTCCTGGGTCATAGCAGTGCCTCAGATTTGGGGGGAACTGAGAGCTCAGCACAACCCCCCACCCTGGGGCACCACAGGGCTGTCCTGGCACTGTCTGTGTCCCTGCCCCACACACCGCTGGGTCAGGTCCCTCCATTTCCTGGCTCAGCCATCCCGGGCACCACTTGATGCCCAGTTGGTTCAGGCAAAATTATACGTCCATGGAATAAAAGCAAAGATCTTTCCCAGACCATTTTTTTCCCAATAATGAACAAACTCATCATAAATCAAACTGACTAGGTATAAAATGCTCTGGTTTATAGAATTCTTTTAATCATTGCTCTCCCAACAACACACTAAGAAGAAAAACACAGACAAATCACAAAGAAATGAGATGTTTTGGTTTCCTTTAGCAGCTCCTCGGTGCATCCCACAGCAGCGTTTGCTTGTGGATAACACCGAGTGTGGAATGTCCCTGAGTGTCCAACAGCTCCATGGGATTGTTCCCTGTCTGCTGGGCAGCAACCCAGCCCCTAAGGAAGCCTTTTCTTGGGCCATATTTAGGAACCTTTCCCATTTTTCTCATTCCCACCCTGAAACTTGATTGGCTTCCCATGAAGGAAGGGAAGAAGCTCTGTCCATCCTTGGGACAGTGCACAAGACTCTGTGAAAATGCCTGTGTGTGCCTTTGGGTCTGATTCCCTGGTAAATTCACCTGCCTGGTAAATTCAGCCTGCCCTGAATTCCCCTGCCTGTGCACTCCCTGCTCCTGCTGTAACACTCATGCTCCCCAGCCCCTCGTGTGCATACCCTGCTCAATATTTCCACACATTTCCCTCTCCTCTGGTGTGCATATCCAGAACTCAAAATTCTTGCCATGAGGTTTGAGAAGGCTGCAGGTTTTGCTCAAGAAGGAGTGTCCAGGTCAGGTTGCTGAGCAGATTGTTCTTCTCTTTGCAGGGTTTCCGGGGTTCTCTCAGAACCTTGCTGCAAGGGACAAATAATCAGGTGCTGCATTTCCGGGCTGTTTCCGCTACAACTGCCCCTGCCATGGGGGTTTCCAGCCAGCCCTGCTCTGAAAACCATCAAAGGCCCTCACAGGGCCACTGCTTGGCTCCCTTTGGGGTTTTTTGCTTCTTGCAGGGCTGAGCAAACCACAGGCAGACCTTTTCCCCCTCAGAATTCTCACTTTTGCAGCAGCTCTAAAGCTGCCAGAATCAAAGTCAATGGCAAGGGGGGACACCTCAGGTCCTGGCTGCCCCCTGGGGCTGACCAGTGCAGGGATGGGTAATGGCCATCCCTGTGCAGTGGGACTGGGCTGTGGCTGGGCCCACACTTTGATGGCCACTGGCTCCAAGAAGCAGGAGTTTGGGGGCTCCTTCCTGCCCGGGGCTCAATTCCCCAGCTGATCTTGCTAACTCAGGTCTTGCAGGGGACAAGCAAGAATGGAGAAATCTAGACCCCCCTGGATCCTCCTTCTTCCAGGACAGGACCCCCTTGGCCAGCATGTGTCCCGCTGGGACAGTATCTCCCCAGGACAAGACCCCCCTGGATGTGTCCCCACCAGGACAGAACCTGCTTCCATGTGACACTCAGCACAAATGGCCACTTCCTTCTTCTGTAGGAGAGAGAAAGTGTTGGGGGGCACAGACGGACACCCCCATCCCCCACAGCCTCCCCTGCCCTCCCTGCAGACCCCTCATCACTGCTTCCCCCACCCTGGCCTTCCCCCAACCCGTTCCGTGCTCAGGTGCCCCCCAGGATCATCAAGGCACAAACTGAGGGCTTGTGAAATTGAGGGGTAAAATGATGGAAATGGAAATAAAGAGAAGAAAAAGCCCCTGGGAGATGGGGGACACAAACCCAGACCCTCTCAAAATCTACCTGGGGTGACCCTTCCAAACCACAAGCACCCTGGGCTGGCTTTGCTGGATCACTCCAAAGTCTGAGGCAACCAGAGAAGGAGCTGAGACCACTGTGCTCACCAAGCCAATGCACAATCCTGGCACCCCCCTTCCCCAGAGACGCCAAACATGGGAGCCCCATTCCTTATATCCACCCATCCCTGGGAAACCCATCCCAATAATGACATTCCCCAGAATCTTCTTGGCCTAGGACCCCATTCCGATGGGATCCCCCATTCTGTGGACACCCATCCCTGGCTCTCCAAACGCCCTGTATCCCCCACTCCTAGAAACCCCATGACCCACCATGTGCCACCTAGACTTGTCCGGATCCTGTTCCCACCCTGCCCACAACCTCTCCCCAGCTTGTGGCCACCCTGCCCCTACCAAGGGCCACCTCCACATGCAAGCGAGACCTTACATCACTTCCTTCCCGTTTGGCCAAAGAGTCGTCACCCAGGGGACAGCCACCCCTGGCAGCGAGTGACAGCCAGTCCTCATAGCTGGGGACACTGGCATGGCCGGGAAGGTGGTACTGCTCCTGTGGGGTGAGTGCCCTGGGCACGGGCCTGACACCCAGGGGATGGGGAGGGAAGGGGACACAGGGGGGCTGCAGGGTTCCCTGAGGTCCCCAAGGCAAACAGGGCATGAGCCCAGTGTGAGCAGAGTTGTGGGGTGGCTTAGGGGACCAGAACTGTGGACAGGAACAGTTGAACAGGGATGTGGGGACTGGAACAGGAGGATGGAGATGTGGGGACAAGGATGTGAGAGAAGGAGCCTTGGGGCTGGGGCAGCTGTGGGGCCAGGGACTGCTGGATGGGGACATGGTAACACTGTGCCACCGGAGGTGGCAGGACAAACCGCTCACAAGCGTGAACTTCTACCATGAAGTGAAGCAACGGAAGGGACCCAAGGATTGGACAGAGCTGTCCCTGTCCCCCTGCAGCTGCGCTACAGTGGCTGCTACCACTGCCAGGGCTGGGTGAAAAATGTGGCTCCACAGCAGAAGGAGTCGAAGTGGGTGACAGTGAGAGGGCACAGTGAGTGCAGGGATGGGGACACGGAAGCCTGACATCCTCCTAGGGTTTCCCCAGCACTGCCTGAATCCTTCATCTCTCCCTTTATTCCTCCCTGGCTCACCCACAATTTCCCAAGTGCCTCTTGCTTTCCCCCAGTACTGCCCAGTTCCCTCTGCAGATCCCTCATCCCTCTCTGTGTCCTCCCCAGCCCTCCCTGCATTCCCCACCCCTTCCAAGTGCTCTGGTCCACCCTCTGCTCTCCCTTCCTTCCCTGCCTCCACCCACCCATCTCTAAACCCCAAATCATTCCCTGTGTCTCCTCAGTCTCTCCTGTGGTTCCCCATCCCTGCCTGGGTCTTTCCTCCTTTCCATGGGATCTCACCATTGTCCCCATGTCCCAACATACCTGCCAGGGTCCTCTTCTGCCCACTGGGATCCTCTCTGCTCCCCTCCAATCCCCCATCTTTCCCCTCCCGTATCCCCCACTCTTTCTAAGTCCCCAGTCCCTCCTGTGTCCCCCTGCAGGTGTCCTGCTCTCGGGGGTGTCCCTGTCGGTGCAGCCCCCTGGGGGACAGGTGGCACTGGGGGACCGCCTGGTGCTGAGCTGCATGGTGGCTGCAGGGACAGGTCCCCTGTCCTTCTCCTGGCACCGGGAGGGCACAGAGGCACAGCTGGGCGCTGGCTCCCGCCTGGAGCTGTGTCACATTGGGGACAATGACAGTGGCCAGTACTGGTGCCGGGACAGAGATGGGGACAGCGTGGCCGAGAGTGACCCCCTGAATGTCACTGTCTTGGATGAGTGGGAACTATGGGATAGGGGTGACCCACCCACAGCAGCTACATCCCACCTTGCCCAGTGCCAGCCCTGTCTGTGTCCCCGCTGTGCCCGTGGCCAATGCCACCATCACCCCCGGTCCCCTGGCACACCAGGTGCACGCAGGTGACAACGTGACCCTGTGCTGCTCAGTGCAGGTGGGCTCAGCCCCTGTCACCTTCACCTGGCTGCACAACGGGCAGGAGGTGGCCCGGGGTCCCCTCCTGGAGCTCGGGGACATCGATGTGGGACATGAGGGTACCTATCAGTGCGTGGCCACCAACCAGCTGGGACAGGACAGGCATGATGTGTTCTGGGTATTCAGCCCAGAGCTGGCCCTGGAGGTGACACCTGGCTCACCCTGGGTCACAGGTGGTGTCACACGGGTCTCCACGGTGTTCAGGACCCCCAGGCTTCAGGGCGACCTCGATGTGTCCCCCTCTGTCCCCAGTAGTGGCTGCGAATATCAGCAGTACCCTCCTGTTCCTGCTCCTGCTCCTGGCTGTCATTGGGGACTGTCACTGGTGGCACCACCGGGGTGGTTGACAATGGGGGTGGGGTTCCTGGAGTGAGGGGAAGCCCCCAGAGTGGGGGCAGACATCAGCAGCACCCAGGGTACCTGAGCTGGGAGAAACTGAGCCCGCAGTGAGCTTGTCTGGGGATCCTGGGGGATTTGGGGGGAATTTGGAGTGTCTTGGTTGGGCTTCAAGGCCATCCCTGGGTGGGTTTTGAAGAACATTGGGGTGGCACTAGGAGCTCCTGGAGGGTTTGGGGAGCTCCTGGAGGGCTGTGCAGGGATGTTGCGGGATCTTTTTTGGGGTCTTGGGGTAGATTGTGGGGTGCCCCTCTCTTCTGGGATTGGGGTTCTGTGATCCAGAATGT